AGGAAACTAATCAATATCCATCATTGACCAAAAATAATCAGCCACAAGTATCAAAATCACGTATACTTGTGATAAAATCATCAAGTAAATCAAATAGTCTAGCAAGTAGAAATAGTATTGACAAGATTGTCAAATCATCATCTAATAAAAATAATTCATATAAATCATCAACTACTTCACCAGCGGTGGTTGTATCATCGTCGTCGTCGTCGTCAACAACTTCCCCACCGCCATGGTATTCGTTAGCACCATCTAATAATAATAATAGTAATAGTAGTAGTAGTAGTAATAATAATAATAATAATAAAAATAATAACGGTTCAAAGTCAACTGCGTCATCATCAAATGTTGAGATTCAAAGCAAATCAGAAGTAGATTTTACTGGCCTACCACCTCCATCAAAGCAAGTAATGCAGTCAAATCTACTGAAAGTAATAAAAGTGATGATACTGAAAATGATTCAAAAAAGAAACAAAAAAAGAAGGTTGTAAAATTGGTTTAAATGTAGATATTAATAATAGCTTTTTGATTTTTTAATTTTTTTAATTTTCTAGGCATAGAAATTAGTTTGAGTGGAATTAATAATAATAATAATAATAATAATGTATTAATAATGATTTATTTATTTATATTAATGGCTTTTTTCTAAAAAAAAAAAAGTTTTATTAATTAATTAAAGACAATAAAAAAATGAAAAGACCTCGAACGAGATGATTCAACGAATGCCTACTTTTTTGGCTGTATGCTATGAATAATTTTTATCGATGAGGTGAGCGTCAACTCATAATGTTTTTTATAAAAACTTATAATACCATTCCAAACAATGATGGAGAATTTGGTAAACAATCTTCCTTACTGAAAGCATGATTGATCCTTTTGAGCTTCAGAAAATTCTTTAAACTAAGATTAATCTGGAAACCTAAAAGTAATGGCTGTCCAAAAAACATAATTGTTATCATAAGAATTAATTGATGGTAGTAACATTCTATCTATGTTACCGATATATTTCCTTCTAGATCTGAAGTTCTACAATGAAACAAGTTGATGTATTATTTCTAATACATTAAAGTAAAAAGATAAGTTTTCGAAATTTAATAAATTAATAATAAATCCCAGCTCAAAATTGTGCTAATGATTGA